GAGACTTTTTGGGCCACCATTTATTTCCAATGGAAGGAAAGTCATTTTTCTGTCTGTGGCACTGGGGTTTTGTTGGGATCTGTTTTCCAGTGGGCAGGAACTCTTGCCCCAGCCCACCTCTTGGTTTCTGCTCTCAAGGAAGCCACTATTCTCTCCCCCAACCCTGTAGAGCTTCACTCTACCTTTTATTAGGCACTGATTACATGCATTCCTCTCCCCGCCCCCGGCCCTCCAGCTGCTGTACGAATACTCAGCTATTGAGAAAATTGTCCGGGCACAAAAATCCCAGTATGCTTTCCTTTTATTGTGGCAGCTTATAAGGGCTCTTAAGTGGAATGGGGGAAAGGCAGCTTGGCAAGGCTCTCTTGTAATAACTGTTCAGAGATGCAGAAAAAGAGACGAACTCACACAATATGAACTGAAACCATGAATGGATGGATGAAGGGATGGACGGTGCATGTGTGAGACAGAGAAAGAGAGGGGGTTGGCTAGCAATTCATTTGCTTTTCTTTGTGTAGTGAGGGACATGAGGAGAACAGCATCTTATGGAAAAAGAAAATGAAAGGCCTTTTTTTGGGTCTTATCCTGTTGGTCACTGGATAGTTGGGGAGAGCACTGACTGGCTCATGGAGATCCCTGCATGTTCTCAGTTTGGACCTGCTCTGGAGGATTACAAACTTGTGTATGTGGCTGAAGTGCCCTAATGGCTATGTTAATTGCCCACAATAGTTGCACCTGACTTCACATTCACTCAGCCTCAGAAGCGCCACATCTCCCAGGGCTGGTCTCAGTCCTAGAGAATATCTCAGTGGCATCACATATAGAAGGGACAATTCAGACCTTGGTGACTTCAGATGGAGGATCTCTACCTGAAATCTTGGAGAGCTCGTGTCAGAACCTGCAGCAATCGAATGGCCAGAAAAGGACTGATTTATTAGGGATAGTAAATGCTAGGTCTGCTTGCTTTGATTCTGCCATTTGTAACAAGGGGGGAGGAAATGAAAGAAGACAGAACTGGTGTCATCTCGAAGGCCAGGAAGAAGAGGTGTTATCAGGGTGAGGAATTCACAAGGCCACGACTCGGTGAGAAAGGAATCTGGCGCCAAAGGAGAAGGGGGAGCAGAAGGGGTAAAAATAGAGGGAAAATTACACGGGCTTTAGTTTTAGCAATGCTTTGCTTAGAGCTGCATGTACCGTCCAATAAAGGAGATTTTATCTGAACCAGGCCTGGTTTCATGAGGATTCTTCTGGATTCGGATTTGGACATTGTGGGCCTGACAGCCAGTGCCCCATTTGAGGGGACAATGCTGAGTTAGATGGCCTCTCTTCTAAACTGGGAGAATGAGCAGGTGGACTGGGTTGGGCAAGAGAGGTGGTACGGGCACGGGGTGTGGGTGCCAAGAACAATCTACTTTTATGTGGTGTCTCTGGGTGAAGCCTGCTGGAGAAGGGGTGGCCGTAGCTAACAGTCAGAGCTCTGGAGGCCTGTATAAAACAGCCGAGTCTTTTCAAAGTATCAGTCCTTCCTCCCACAGTTTCTCAGAGATGCCCAAGCAGGAACAGTTGGACCGGGGATGGATGTTTCTTCAAGGATGCTGGGTTAGGCCCTGCGTCACGTGGGGCATGAGATCTTTGGGGGCTGTCCATTTACTCCAGAAACAGTTCATTGATGAAGCACTGGCTTCGGGCTCCAGACTGGCACCTACTACGGCATCCTGGGTGGCAAGCAGTCAGATCCAGCCCGTCCTCTGAATCACACGCTCAGCTGGAGCGGATGGGGGCTGCAATTATCTGTTCCTGATCTCCCGTTGATTTGGGAGAACTTGACGCAGGCAGCACTTGGTGCTGAGCAGAGCATCCATCCAGCAAAATTATACAGAAGCAAGCCGAGATGTAACTCGCAAGGCTAAACGTCTAAGTTCTCGTTCTTCCTGTCGAACTCTGATAAGAGCCACCTGCAGACCAGCAGGAAGTGATTTCACCCTTGATTACTGTGGTCCTGAGGACGTGCTAATCACTGCAGAGCGATGACGGGTAGGGACATATTGTAATTTCAAGGTGATTAACGGCATCCAGCGTAGTGGGCGAAACAAGGCGCTTCCTCCTCCTGCTGTCCAGCATCCGTTTGCACCCAGACACACGGATAACGGATTTACTGCAGCGTAACAGCCTCAACATAACCCAGAGCGCCTGAGTGGAATTCGTGTTGGCGCTGCTCTGGCTGGGTTCACACGACGCAGCGCATCCCAGAACTAGCCAAGCCCCTTTTCTTGGGCGAATCTTCCTCGTGCGGCCGGTTTCCCACCTTCTTGCTACTGCAGGTCCCGCTTTTCTCCCAGGACCGGTTTCCGTCAGTCTGATGAAGCGGGCGTGACCCGTGACATCCGTTCGCTCGCTCGCTCGCTCGCTCGCTCGGTTCACGCGGCCGCCCATCTCGCCTCGGGCCCTCCGGGCGCCTCCCCAGCGTTGAAAACCGCGGGCAAGCTGTGGATGAAAACAACATGCCTACACAACCGGGTTGCAAACCACTACTGGAGCACACGCACACGCACGCGTTCAAAAGCACGAAACGTCCTCCGCGGCGGGGCCCGCCCGAGGAGCGGAGCGGGCTGCGCGGGACCCTCCTCGGGGCGCCTGCGCGGCGCGGACCGCCGTCCGGCCGGGAGCATCCCCTGCACGTGGCC